TCAAACAGTGTTCTTCCTATGTTTTCATGTAAGAGTTTTATAATGTCCAGTCTTACATTTAGGTCTCTAATCCATTTTGAGTTTATATTTGGGTATGGTGTTAAGGAGGGTTCTAATTTCATTCTTTTACATGTAGCTGTCCAGTTTTCCCAGCACCACTTATTGAAGAGACTGTCTTTTCTCCATTGTATATCTTTGCCTCCTTTGTCATAGATTAGTTGACCATAGGTGCGTGGGTTTCTCTCTGGGCTTTCTATCCTGTTCCATTAATCTATATTTCTGTTTTTGTGCCAGTACCATATTGTCTTGATTACTGTAGCTTTGTATTATAGTCTGAAGTCAGGGAGTCTGATTCCTCCAGCTCCGTTTTTTCCCTCAAGATTGCTTTAGCTATTCGGGATCTTTTGTGTCTCCATACAAATTTTAAGATTTTTTGGGCCAGTTCTGTAAATAATGCCATGGGTAATTTGATAGGGATTGCATTGAATCTGTAGACTGCTTTGGGTAGTATAGTCATTTTCACAATATTGATTCTTTCAGTCTTAGAATATGGTATATATCTTCACCTGTATCATCTTTAATTTCTTTCATCGGTGTCTGATAGTTTTCTGCATACAGGTCTTTTGTCTCCTTAGGTAGGTTTATTCCTAGGTATTTTATTCTTTTTGTTGCAGTGGTAAATGGGAGTGTTTCCTTAATTTCTCTTTCCGATTTTTCATCATTAGTGTATAGGAATGCAAGAGATTTCTGAGCATTAATTTTGTGTCCTGCTACTTTACCAAATTCATTGATTAACCCTAGTAGTTTTCTAGTAGAGTCTTTCGGATTCTCTATGTATAGTATCATATCTGCAAACAGTGACAGTTTTACTTTTTTTCCAATTTGTATTGCTTTTATTTCTTTTTCTTCTCTGATTGCCATGGCTAGGACTTCCAAAACTATGTTGAATAACAGTGGTAAGAGTGGACGTCCTTGTCTTGTTCCTGATCTTAGAGGAAATGCTTTCAGTTTTTCACCATTGAGAATTATGTTTGCTGTGGGTTTGTTGTATATAGCCTTTATTATATTGAGGTAGATTCCCTCTATGCCCACTTCTGGAGAGTTTTTATCATAAATGGGTTTTGAATTTTCTCAAAACTTTTTCTCCATCTATTGAGATGTTCATATGGTTTTTCTTCTTCAATTTGTTAATATGGTGTATCACGTTGATTGACTTGCATATATTGAAGAATCCTTGCGTCCCTGGGATAAATCCCACTTGATCATGGTGTATGATCCTTTTAATGTGTTGTTGGATTTTGTTTGCTAGTATTTTGTTGAGGATTTTTGCATCATATTCATCAGTGATATTGGTCTGTAATTTTCTTTTTTTGTAGTATCTTTCTCTGGTTTTGGTATCAGGGTGATGGTGGACTCATAGAATGAGTTTGGTAGTGTTCCTTCCTCTGCAATTTTTTGGAAGAGTTGAGAAGGATGGGTGTTAGCTGTTCTCTAAATGTCTGCTAGAATTCACCTGTGAAGCCATCTGGTCCTGGACTTCTGTTTGTTGGAAGAGTTTTAATCACAGTTTCAATTTCATTATTTGTGATTTGTCTGTTCATACTTTCTGTTTCTTCCTGGTTCAGTCTTGGAAGGTTATACCTTTCTAAGAATTTGTCCATTTCTTCCAGGTTGTCCATTTTATTGGCATAGAGTTGGTTGTAGTAGTCTCAGGATGCTTTGTATTTCTGCGGTGTCTGTTGTAACTTCTCCTTTTTCATTTCTAATTTAATTGATTTGAGTCCTCTCTCTCTTTTCCTTGATGAGTCTGGCTATTGGTTTATCAATTTTGTTTATCTTCTCAAAGAGCCAGCTTTTAGTTTTATTGATCTTTGCTATTGCTTTATTTGTTTCTATTTCATTTATTTCTGCTCTGATCTTACTGATTTCTTTCCTTCTGCTAACTTTGGGTTTTGATTGTTCTTCTTTTTCTTGTTCCTTTAGGTGTAAGTTTAGATTGTTTATTTGATATTTTTCTTGTTTCTTGAGGTAGGCTTGTATAGCTAAAAACTTCCCTCTTAGAACTGCTTTTGCTGCATCCCATAGGTTTTGGATCATTGTGTTTTCATTGTCATTTGTCTGTAGGTGTGTTTTGATTTCCTCTTTGATTTCTTCAGTGAACTCTTGGTTATTTAGTAACGTATTGTTTAGCATCCATGTGTTTGTGTTTTTTACGTTTTTTTTCCCTGTAATTGATTTCTAATCTCATAACGTTGTGGTCAGAAAAGATGCTTGATATGATTTCAATTTTCTTAAATTTACTGAGGCTTGATTTGTGACCCAAGATGTGATCTATCCTGGAGAATGTTCCATGTGCACTTGAGAAGAAAGTATAATCTGGTGTTTTTGGTTGGAATGTCCTATAAATATCAATTAAATCTATCTGGTCTATTGTGTCATTTAAAGCTTGTGTTTCCTTATTAATTTTCTGTTTTTATTATCTGTCCATTGGTGTAAGTGAGGTGTTAAAGTCCCCCACTATTATTGTGTTACTGTCGATTTCCTTTTATAGCTGTTAGCAGTTGCCTTATGTATTGAGGTACTCCTATGTTGGGTACATATATATTTATAATTGTTATACCTTTTTCTTGGATTGATCCCTTGATCATTATGTAGTGTCCTTCCTTGTCTCTTGTAACATTCTTTATTTTAAAGTCTATTTTATCTGATATGAGTATTGCTACTCCAGCTTTCTTTTGATTTCCATTTGCATGGAATATCTTTTTCCAACCCCTCCCTTTCAGTCTGTATGTGTCCCTGGGTCTGAAGTGGGTCTCTTGTAGACAGCATATATATGGGTCTTGTTTTTGTATCCATTCAGCGAGCCTGTGTCTTTTGGTTGGAGCATTTAATCCTTTCACATGTAAGGTAATTATCAATATGTATGTTCCTATTACCATTTTCTTAATTGTTTTGGTAGGTCCTTTTCTTCTCTTGTGGTCCTACTTAGTGAAGTTCCTTTAGCATTTGTTGTAGACCTGGTTTTGTGGTGCTGAATTCTCTTAGCTTTTGCTTGTCTGTAAAGCTTTTGATTTGTCCATCGAATCTGAATGAGATCCCTGCTGGATTGAGTAATCTTGGTTGTAGGTTCTTCCCTTTCATCACTTTAAGTATATCAGCCCACTCCCTTCTGGTTTGTAGAGTTTCTGCTGAGAAATCAGCTGTTAACCTTATGGGAGTTCCCTTGTATGTTATTTGTCATTCTTCCCTTGGTGCTTTCAATAATTTTTCTTTGTCTTAATTTTTGCCAATTTGATTACTATGTGTCTCGGCATGTTTCTCCTTGGTTTTATCCTGTATGGGACTCTCTGCGCTTCCTGGACTTGGGTGGCTATTTCCTTTCTTGGGTCCTTTCTCTCGTCTTCTGGGACCCGTATAATGCAAATGTTGTTGCGTTTAACGTTGTCCCAGAGGTCTCTTAGGCTGTCTTCATTTCTTTTCATTCTTTTTTTTTTTTTTTTTTTTGCGGTACGCAGGCCTCTCACTGTTGTGGCCTCTCCCATCGCGGAGCACAGGCTCTGGACGCGCAGGCTCAGCGGCCATCACAGGCCCAGCCGCTCTGCGGCATGTGGGATCTTCCCAGACTGGGGCTCGAACCCATGTCCTCTGCATCAGCAGGCGGACTCTCAACCACTGCACCACCAGGGAAGCCCGCTTTTCATTTTTTTTTGCTTTATTCTGTTCCGCAGTAGTGAATTCCACCATTCTGTCTTCGAGGTCACTTATCCGTTCTTCTTCCTCAGTTATTCTGCTATTGGTTCCTTCTACCTTTTTTTTCATTTCAGTTATTGTATTGTTCATCTCTGTTTGTTTGTTCTTTAATTCTTCTAGGTCTTTGTTAAACATTTCTTGCATCTTCTTGATCTTTGCCTCCATTCTTTTTCTGAGGTCCTGGATCATCTTCACTATCATTATTCTGAATTCTTTTTCTGGAAGGTTGCTTATCTCCACTTCATTTAGTTGTTTTTCTGGGGTTTTATCTTGTTCCTTCATCTGGTATATAGCCCTCTGCCTTTTCATCTTGTCTATCTTTCTGTGAATGTGGTTTTTGTTCCACAGGCTGCAGGATTGTAGTTCTTGCTTCTGCTGTCTGCCCTCTGGTGTATGAGGCTAGCTAAGAGCTGTTCTATGGTTTTTATTGTGTCTTTCCCTCCCAGTTTTATTGAGATAAATTGACACATAACATTGCATTCATTTAGAGTGTACAACATAATTATTTGATGTGTTTATTGCAACATCAAAGTGATTACCACAATGAGGTTAGTTAACATCCGTCACCTCACATAGTTATAATTTTTTTCTTCTGCTAAGCACTTTTAAGATCTACTTTCTTAGTAACTTTCAAATATACAATACAGTATTAACTACACCATGCTGTACTTACATCCCCAGAACTTAGTCAGCTTGTAACTGGAAGTTTGTAGCTCTTGAGTACATTCACCCATTTTTTTTTCTGTTGAGGAGTTAGCTGTCAATCTAATTGTTTTGCCTCCAAAGATTATTAGTCATTTTTTTCTTTGGCTGCTTTTACAAGTTCTGTTTGTCTTTGGTTTTGTACAGCTTTACTATGTTTCTAGATGTGGACTTATAAAAATTTATTCTGCTTGGCATTTGTTGGGTCTCTTGAACATGTAGATTCACATCTTTCACCAATTTTAGCAGAATATCAGCCCTTGTCTCCTCAAGTGTTTCTTCTGCCCTGTTTTCTTTTTCTTTTCCTTCTGAGACTTCAAATAAACATGTTAGACTATCTCATTTATATCTCCCATCCTAATTTTAATGTTTTCTCCTTCCCCTCTTCTTTTTTTGCCCTTTGAGTTCTTTTGCCCATTCTCCAAGGGTTTTGTTCTTTCTTCAGCTGTATGTAATTTGCTGTTAAACCTCTTGTAGTGAGTTGAATAGTATCCTCCTAAAATTCATGTACACATAGACTGCAAAATGTGATTTTTTTTTTTAAGCAGGGTGTTTGCAGATGTAAATTGTTAAAGATCTCAACATGAAAACATCCTAGATTTAGGATAGGCCCTAAACTCAATAACTTGGGTCTTTATAAGAGAAAGGAGAGGAACATTTGGACACAGAGACATGTAAGGAAGAAGGCAATGTAAAGACAGGAAGACATTGGAATTATGCTGCCACACACCAAGGAATGCCAGTAGCTACCAGAAGCTAGGAGAAAGGCAAGGAGGAATTTTCACCTAAAGCCTTTGGAGAAAGTGTGGCTCTGACAATACCTTGATTTGGGACTTCTGGCTCCAGAACCATGAGAGAATAAATTTCTGTTGTTGTAAACCACCAAGTTTGTGATAATTTGTAATGGCAGTCCTAAGAAATTAATACACTCATTAATTGTTATTCTCCAATCCTGTGAGCTAATTCATCAGCTGATCAATACATAACCTCATTTTATGTTTCTGTTTAAAGACACCTTATTTAAGACATTATTGATATATTAACACTGAATTCAGCCAAAAACACTAACTCATGCCTGAGCAAAGTTCATCTAACATAGTTTCTCCACAAGTCTCATTAGAACCTTCTTGCACTTAGGAACACTGGACAGTCCTTCAGCATTGTGCTTGGGTGCCATTTTAAACAGTGAAATCATCAACAAAAAGCACAAAAGTATGAAAAACATGGCTCTAAATATACCTTGAAGAGGACACTTATTTTCAGTATGAGAACTAAAACAAGAAGAGAGAGTGTCACCTCCTTTAACCTCAGCTGGGAATGTCCACCCTGTTGACTCAATTTTTCATCACTCTGCACAACATGCATGTCCACAAATGACCATGAAAGCATTGGGAGTATTGATTTTCAAGTTACAAATAAATTTTAGCAAGTAGGTAAATTCGCAAATATGAACTGCCAATAAATGAGAATCAACTGTAGACCTAAATCCAGGAATGCTTTAATCTTCAGTTAAGGAAATTAAGGTGATGAGAGATTTTGTATAACTTTAAATATAAAGCTATAGTACTCTATATAGGGCAGCAGTCCCCAAGCTTTTTGGCAGCAGAGACTGGTTTCGTGGAAGACAGTTTTTCCACGGATGGCTGGGGGAGGTGGATAGTTCAGGCGATGATGCGAACAGTGGTTCAGGCGGTAATGCGAGCAATGGAGAGTGGCAGATGAAGCTTCACTCAAGTTGCCCGCCACTCACCTCCTGCTGTGCGGCCGGGTTCCTAACAGGCTGCAGACTGGTACTGCTCCACAGACCAGGGGTTGAGGGCCCCCTGGTATAGGGTACTCGGTATAGAGTTTGAATACTAGTCATTGCAGAGGATGGCCTAACATTCTCAGCAAGTTAGCTAGACTTACTGTGGTCCCTCACAGCCAGCTAGTCCCAGCTGCCTAAAGCTCCCATTGTAATGTATCTTCCACATTATGCTGTCCAGACCCAAGTAAAAGGACATCTCATTCTTCCTCTACTTGTTTCTCTCCCTTCCTTGATAGGTTATTCTCTTACCCCACCCTCCTTTTCTTTAGCACCAGCTTTCCCTTGTGTCCTGACTCTCCAGTGGCACAGGCTTGGGTTCTGCCATCCCCACTCACTGCCATTGTTGCTTATCTGCTTATAGTACGGTGGGAGTGGGGGGAAGCTGAGTAGATAACCCGGCTTGGAACACCTATTTTCAGAATAGTAAAAAATGAAACTAATACAAACAGTTCAGTCACCTTAGCATGAGTCTTCTCCTGGGCTTTAGGAATTTTGACCCTACCCTGTTAACTGTTTTTTCTCCAGATACATGTTGATAATGTATGTTTTGTACTTGTGCAAGGGACAGAATCCAGCTAGTTTCCTCTTTCCTGTGACTTTGAATCACTATATTTAAGGGTTTGGTTTTTATAGTGTTACTATCTGGGAAATCAGGCACAGTGGAATAGAGTATAAGATGGTTTGGAGGGAATTCCCTGGTGGTCCAGTAGTTGGGACTCTGCACTTTCACTGCCAAGGGCGTGGGTTCAATCCCTGGTTGGGGAACTAAGATCCCACAATCAATCAATCAGTTAATCAATTAAAAAAAATGGTTTTGGAAAACGCAGAGAGGTTCATTTGAGACCTACAGGCCCACAGTGACAGAATAGATATTTTTGCTATTTTCTTTTGAATTTTCTTTACAGAAACTCTAGTCCTCATTCAGCCCAAAGACTCTGTCCTGTAACATAAAAGCAGGCAGTTCATTTTGGCCACGTGGTCTTTCAGTTAAGCTCAACAAAATGAAGCTTCGTCCTCCATAAATTCCTCTCACACTATCCGTATATAGGCTCACTCACTATCCATAGAGCAATTAAAAATTATTACCATGTGAGTCGAAGAGCTACAAATTTCTGCATCATTTTATTTTGTATATTTACTGAAGACACCTGCAGAGAAGATTATGATCTATCTGCCTGCCTTAGAAGGCCTGTGTCAAAAAATTGGCATTTTGTCATGCCTTCACTAAGACTCCCCCATTTTGGAAGGTTTTTCCTTAAGCTCTGAACACTTATCTTAATTAGGGCTTGTCTGCCGTACAATTCAGGGGCTTTTAGGAGGGCTATTTGTGACTATATTCTCTAGGTTAGGTTACATATTGCTATACCCCCATATCAAGAAACTTCTTACCAGAAAATTTTAAATTTTCATTAGTTAAATGTCCATCTTTGTACACAAATGCAGGGAAAGTTGGTTCTAAGAAGTTATCTGAGGGGAGGAAGAGGAGTGGGCTGGGAATTGAGGGTTGGTAGATGGTAGATGCAAACTATTATGTTTAGAATGGATAAACTACAAGGTCCTGTTGTATAGCACAGGGAACTATATCCAATCTCCTGGGATAAACCATACTGGAAAAGAATATTTTAAACTTTTTTTTCTCGGTACGTGGGCCTCTCACTGTTGTGGCCTCTCCCGTTGCGGAGCACAGTCTCCGGACGTGCAGGCTCAGCGGCCATGGCTCACGGGCCCAGCCGCTCCGTGGCATGTGGAATCTTCCCGGACCGGGGCACGAACCCGTGTCCCCTGCATCAGCAGGCGGACTCTCAACCACTGCGCCACCAGGGAAGCCCGAAAAGAATATTTTAAAAAGCATGTCTCTATGTGTATAACTGAGTCACTTTGCAGTGCAGCAGAGCTTGACACAATGTTGTAAATCAACTATGCTTCAATAAAAATTATTTTAATATAAGTATTTTAAAAAATAGTTATTTGGCTTTTCTGTCATAATATCTAAGAGATCAGGTGAGGGTGCAGGATAAAAAGCAAAGTACCTAGCCAGTGCAGGGACAGGGGACCCATTCCCCTTATGGTACAGTTACAGCCCTTAGAATCATTATTCTACTCAATGAAGGAAAAATGTTGAGCAGAATTGGGTGAGGCAGCAAAGTTGATGGACAACTAGGGAGGACAACCAGGTGGTGATCCCTGTCAACAAGAAGTGTGGCTGGCATCTATGAGTCAGAAGAATTTCTTCTGGATTTAGCCCCATTGTGTTCCCTCATTTTAGTGAAAATGCTGCAGCTCAGCCCCCAACGTTTACCTGGGAGTAACCCTGGGAGTGCTTGGTGGTAATTCTCAATGGGAACTTGTTTTCAACATGAACTAGGCTGTAAGTAACTGCCATGAAATTATCATAATTATGTGTGTGCATAGACACACACATTTGTTTTATTTATCTTTATGTTTGTCTTTTATCTTGAGAGACAAACAATTTCAGATGACAATTTTGTATCCCTTCTCCCGAAAATATAACTGGGGCATAAAGACCTACTTTTAATCTGTACGTGTAAAGTTTTTTTCTGTATGCATTTTCATATGGCTTAGAAAATCATTCTGCAAATACTACATGCTCATTGTTTAAAAATTAAGCTCAGGGGTACACATGGGTATATAATGAAAAGTAAAAGAATCCTGACTTTAGATAAATCACTATCAACAATTTATTGTCTGCCCTTCCAGAAATTATCTGTACATATAAAGGCATATAATTTTTGCATAAATGGGATCCAATTAAATGTTCTTCCACTTCCTTTTTTAGCAATGTGTATACTTTAAGCTGATGTTAAAAGGCACAGCAAGACACTTTCCACTCTGCTATAGTACATTTCACAACAATATATTATTCTCTTTTGTTCTTGACTATAACATAAAGTGCCTGTAAAGTGACCTTTTGTTTTGATATGTATGGCAGGAACACAAGAGTTTTACAATAAACAATATCTCACAATAATGACTCATTATTTGGAGAAAAAAATAATCCAGCAAATATCTTGGGAAATGTCATCATGCATCTGGTGGTCAGCAAACTTGGAGTGGGATTCCTGTCCAGTTCTACTGCATTCCACATTCGGTCTCACAAAGAATGGGATTGTGAGAAAACTCATTTTACTAGTGGGATGTTTGATGAAAATTTTTTTTACTAAGATACTTCTACCATTCTCAAGACCTATAAGCTAGTTAGATTTTTTTTTTTAAATAAGCTCTACAGAAAGCTTAATTCTTATTAACACTGCAAATGTTTTCTTCTGGATTTTAAAAAAACAACTTCCACCAGTTAATTATTTTAATACCTACTGTGTGCCAAGTTATGCCAGATATTTGTGTACATTTTTTCACTTAATCCTCACAGCAACTGTTCTTTTCCGGCTTCCTTTCAGTTAATGAAACAGAGGCCCATGAAGGCTAAATAAAATGTTCAAGGTCTCACTGCTAAGTGGGGATGCTGAGATTTAAAGCCAGGTCAGTCTGGCTGGTTTTGTGCTACCTAATGTGTACTCGTAAGCAAGACCTGTCCCTTCTCTTCCTACCTGTTGCCCTTGTACTACTGGCGCACCCCAGTCAGCACATCTGTGGTGCTAGCTTAAACAGGGCATTAACTCTTTTGCCTTTTATTTGGTTCCTTTGACTTTCCGTTTTAGAAAGCCCTGTCCTCACTCAGCCCAGACCACTTTAATAGAAGAGGGACCAGCAGATATTGCCCATTAAAGTGAAAGCAGGGAGTTCACACTGGCCAGGTGGCCTCTTTGTGAAACCTGAAAAAGACAGTCCTTCAAGTCTGTGTGCCACTTACGCCTATTTATGACACACTGGTTTTCAGTTTGACATATATCCATGGAGTCGTGGAAAGTGTGTGTAACTTGGTTTCTAGAATAGATTGAAGAGAAAATCATCACATGTGGTCATGAATCCTCTCCTGGGCTTTAGGAATTTTGACCCTACCCTGTTAACTGTCACTCTTGACTTTCCTTCCACCTACCCTATA